TAACTCCACAACGTTAAGCTTAATTGATTAATAACACAAAAAGAGTTTCTAAATTCTGTGAGTTGAAGTCCACATGTTTTCAGTTGCTGAAGTTGAGAAACACTAATCTAGATCACATCTAGTTAGGACAATGGCTTCAATTTAACAATTGTTCCATCCCACTGGACTATACTATCTTATTTTGGCTGTATAAATTAAAACAAAAAGCAAATAAACAAAATATGAGATTGCTAGATGTCCAGAGGAAGTTTGAAATGAAGTGCTATTAATATTTGATAATTTTAAAATATATTTCTTTTTTTTATCAAATTCCAAAACCCATACATAAACATACACAAAAACCCACACTCCCAGTAGGTAATGTCCTTTTGTATTCACAGCTCCTGCTTGGAGAGCAGTGGCAACAATGGCCAAGAGGACCTTTGCTCAATTGGGACATTGCAGGAAGTATGCACCCATCATCTCATGGGTCAACTGCTGCAATGTGCTGTACATGGGCCTGTCTTTGAAGAACATTAGGAAGCTTCAGCTGATTCAGAAAGCAGTGACACAGGTAATGGTGGCTTTGTCTCACTATGGCCGTGGGCATCTAATCTTCATGAGCTGCATTGGTTGCCAATGTGCTTCCAGGTGTGGTTTAAGGTGCTGGTTATTACCCATGAACTCCTATTTGATATAGGGCTTGGTTATTTGAAAAAACGCCTATCTTTCATGGTTTCTTCCTGGCCAATATGAATCAACAGAGTGAGCATACTCCAAGTTCACTCAATAAGTCATCTCTTGGGATCCAGATTCTATATTGTGGAGCTTACCCACTGGAATGAAGTCCCACCTAGGATCCAGATAGTTCCCACCCTGATATTGTTGTGGAAGGCTTTAAAAACCTGGCTGTTTTCCTAGGTTTTGGGGTAGAGTGATAGAACCCTATGCTGGATGTGCTTAACATATGCTTCCATACATTGTCAGCCCATTATGTATATTTAGTTGGTTGTCTGGATTCTCTATCTTGTTTATTTATTCTATTATGTTTTTTTCTGTGTTTTCTTTATATTGTGAGCTGTCCAGAGTCAGTCTGGAATCGGGTACTATCAAAATTGAATAACATAAATAAAACAATAACGTTGTTGACAATTGTGTAGATTTGATATCATGATGAAAATAAACAAGTTTATATCTAAAAAGTTTACATCTAAAAAATAGGTGGCTTGGCAACTGGAATTCAATCTATTTTGAAAGAGCTGATATTCCCTCTAGCTCAGGCATGTTCAACTGCCGGCCCGTGGGCCGGATGCATCATACTGAAACCGCGCCCACCCCATTGCCGGCAATGGGAAAAAAGTTGCGATATGTCACACAATGTCATGTGACGTCGCAAGTTTGACATGCCTGCTCTAGCTCATTGTTGGAAAGAATTCTTGATCCCATCTTATCCCTGCGCTCATAGTTGCTTATGTGAGAAAGAGAGAGATCATGACAACTTTTGCCATTCCTAAATCAGTCTGATATGATAGCTACTATTCATTATAGGCTAACCCTGAGGAATATCTGGACATTTCCATAAATGCAAAATGTGGCAGTTAAAATATCAACTGGTGCATAATATAGCAAACTTTAAAATCTTCAATAATTGTCATTTATTTTCCAATTTTGTTTCAAATGTTGCTTATAATTATTAATACTTTAAACAGCTTAAGCTGTTCCTAAATTGTCTTGATCTGGCTGAGGATTCCAAGGAAGCCAATTATGGAGTATATTGATGCAGGCTTTCACAGTGAGCATCAATCCAGTGTTGATGAGCTTCCAGGCTAATAGGCCATAGTCTAATTATCTGGTGTCCTGATGTTTCACCAGCAAGCATGGCTGGCATCTTCAGAACTGAAAGTGATCTGCTGTATAATGTACTTTCTTGGAAGCTCACAGGCAATTGAGCAGGAACTGACTGAGCTCTTGCATTTGTAACAGAACTAATCTCTATTTGGATCATATCATTGGAATTTTGAAAAGCCAGTTTCTGATTGGTTCCTTGCCTCAGCCAATTTGTAACTGGTCTACTTGTGAAGAAGTTCCAAAGGAGCTAATTTATGATTGGCTATCCTTGAAACATGCTATTGCTGCTTATATTTTAGTTGAGACTACTGTAGATTCTATTTGCGGTTGGTTAATTAAGGGCTGTTGTATTTTGGTATATTGTTTGTTGAAAAAATATATAAAAATGTATTTTGTAAAATATAAATAAGTAGTCTTGTTTAGCAGGCATATGTAGTATAAAGTTGTAAAATTGGGATATTATAACATTGCAGCAAAAATAACCAGACTGAGGTGGAAATTAGAGCTTACAAGCCTTTAGCTTTTGCTTCACATATCTGATAAGTAATTCAGTAACAAGCAGCAGGTTGATTCTTTGAGTTCTTTGTTAAATACAGTAAAGTAGAAAAAAACAGTAACTTCAGCTGGAAGTAATATTCTGGATTAACACCAAATTGCAATATTAGCCTTTCTATTTCTAACACAGTGATGCTGTGGACATCCTATCCCAATGTCTAGAGGCTATTGGGGACTGAATGGGAGGAAACGGACTTTGACTCAACCTAAGCAAGACTGAGTAACTGTGAGTCTCTGGAGAATAGGTTCTTCCATCTTTAGTTCTGGGTGCAGTTTTGAAGAGTAGCTGTGGCTAGGAGGCTGTACACTTTTGACTGGTGCACCAGTTGCGCCCATGCCTGGATTGGGAGGCCGTGCTCATAGTAACTCATGTCCTTGTAACCTTTGGTATAGAGTACAGTAACATGCTGTACATGGGGCTGCCCTTGAGGAGCATCCAGAAACTTCAACTGGTGCAAAATGCAGCTGCATGGGTAGCAAATGGTGCTAGATATATAACATACATAACACCACTTCTGCAAGAGCTGCATTAGTTACCAGTATATTTCTGGGCATAGTTTAAGGTGCCGGTTATCATCTTTAAAACCCTATTTAGCTTGGGACCAGTTTACCCGAGGGCCCACCTTTTTTCCAGAGTCTCTACTCATCCAACTAGATCAACTAGAATGGGTGGGCTAAAGATCCTATCATCCAAAAAATGTTGGCTGATGGGGATTAGAAGACAGTTTTTTTTACCGCTGTGGCTCCTGCTCAATGGAAGATTCCCCCTTTGGAGATTAGAATGGCCCCAATCCTGTTAGTCTTTCGTAAGATCCTAAAAACCTGGCTATGTTCCTGAGTCTGGGGTGCTTTAGACAATCTTTAAATCAGGGGTGTCAAACTGCCGGCCCGCAGGCTGGATGCGTCATGAGGAAACTGCACCCACCCCATTGCCGGCAATGGGGAAAAAGCTCTGATATGTCACCTGACGTCACATGATATTGTGAGTTTGACATGTCTGCCTTAAATGATATACTTGAAAAGGTGTCACATCTTAATTTAATACAGATAAAAAGGGAGCTTGAAAAAAATGCTGTTTTCCAGATTATACTCTTTTAAATATGTTATTGCTTACTTGGTTGAGTAAGCTTTTATTATATTATATTGTCCAACTGTTGTATTTCTTAATAAAATAAACCACTTTGAAGAACTTCTAAAACCAGCATATAAATAAAATAGCTAGGTCGGTGAGAAGGAATAAATAGAAGGATGTGGAGAAGTAAATGGAACCATATTGCTTGTGTGGAATTTCCTCCGCACAACTGCCTACTCTCTGAGGTAAGGGAAATGTTAGGATCTCTTTTTGGGGTTTGTGTGTACAATGTACTATGTCAAGAGCAACTACTTCAAGACTGTAAAGACCTGGATGGCAATTAGCTGAGAGCAAAGAGATACACTCTTTTTGTTACCTCTGCCACCCATCTGGATATTTACAGTCCAGATATGATAGCCATAAAAATTGTGCTTATTCTAGGGATTTTTTTTTTGTAGGGAGCCTTTGAATCAGTTTTTACTCTGGCAACTGGCTGGGCTAGTTCCTACAGTTTTTGGGAAACGCTTTCTGGAAGTACTTTGCCACTGCCACAATCTTAGAATTGAGCATGACTGACTATCCCAAACTCACCCAGCTAGCTTTGTGCCTAAGATGAGACTATCATTCATGGTTTCCCAGAGTCTAGCTTGATGCCTTAATCACTACACCAAATTGGCCCTCTGTTGTAGGAATTAGAGGACCATTTATTTTATAATACCACATAAAACAATGGTATTCCTAAAATTCAGTGGTCTATTATAAGAAGTAGCAGAGGTCTTAGAAAACAGGCCTTAGGGTTGCATGAGGCTCCAGGCTGGAGAATGTCTGCCTTATTCAAACTAAATGTAAAGGCATCCACAGAAGAGATGAGTGGCTGGGAAAGATGAAACGACTGCTGTAATGTAAACTCTGTTCCTTATTTGTATTTGCATACAATGTCCCTTCACAAGTGTTAAAAGTGCAGAGCCTACATTGGGACATTACAAGTCAGTTTTGACTTTTTGGCATCATTGTGGCTAGTTGCAGATGTCTATGATTATAAGCACAATTTGTCCATTGGAATGGTCTTCTCTGATTTAAGTGGCCCTTGAAATGTCTTTTGAACCTGGGACATTCTGCATTACAAAGCATGTACTTTACCAGGAAACAAACCCATTTTTTTTTCTATGCAACTTCCAAGCAGCTGAACAACTATATCCATTGTGTCCATTTAGAACTTGTTTGTGACTTTTGAAAAAGCTTAACATTTCTTAGTATTTGTATTTTAGAGCCAATACTAGACTTCTATATTGTTTTGAGACTGTGGAGGGTTTTCATGCTTATCATTTTTTGTTTGCTGAGGTCCTTTACTTTAATCCCAAGTTGAAAAGCCATTCCTCTTGAAATATTATTAGGACAGCAGTGTTTGTCCTAAATTTCACTGCAAAATGACTGGGGAATATTTATTTTAGTCTGATATGAAAAGTGCTTTTTACAATTCCACAGCAATCTTCGTTTTTCTTAGAAAATATAGGGGAAGATAGAGAGAGATGCAAGGAGACCTTACCTAGAGTCTGACCGGCGAGTACTCTCCCATTCTCCCCTAGGACAGCAGCCCGTGCATGCCTTTCATTTGAATATTGTACAAATGCATAGCCTTTATGCACAGAGCAGCCCACCACTCTGCCATATTTAGAGAAGATGGTTTCTACATCTGACTTCTTGACCACTGCTGTGTTGAGATTCCCAATGAAGACCCTGGAGTTGATGGACTTGGGATCATTCTTGTTTGTGATGTTACTTGTCTGTATTTTCAATGACATCTTGACACCTAAGTAAGCAAGATAATGAGGATCAGGAAGGCACTAATAACCTATGATAAGGTCCATCAATGGAACCAATGGTGTACATATGAGCTTACTGCAAAGATCAGCCATCAAAAACTTGCAGAACACTAAGAGAATTTGAAACAATGTTTTATACATTGGTATAGTTTAAACAATGTAAATCCTGCAACAATTTAAAGCAACCTCACTTGGACTCTTGCGAAGAAGTGTATGATATTGGATCCTACGCTTCTATGTAATGGAAGTGGTTTTGACTGCATTTATGGCCCTCTTAGGCTGTGCCCCACATCTGTTAGTGGCACAAATATGTGCCAGCAGCATCATTTTTCTGCAGTTTCCCCAGGCCATTGCTTTCAAGCCCATTAGTGATAGAGGTTTAAGTTGTCCTTAACTGTACTTGTTAAAGTTTTGTTTTCCTGTTAATGCTGGTGGCATCCTATGACAGTCACAAATCCATTACATTGGAAGTCAGGCAATTTCAGGTGACAAGTAGTGGCATTACAGAGACCTTTACTGCCCATTTAAGGTTGATATGAGCATCCACCCTCTGCATGGTTTTTTGTCAGTCTCATCTATTGTCTTTCTGCTGATGTTTCTCTAAAAACTTAAACACAGCAGTCCCTGTACCAGTGTTACATGGATATACACAGCAGTGCTAGAGGTCTAGCACATTGGTCCCATTGAGTTCCTAGATACATGGACAATTTGTCCCTCATGCCATCACTTTGCTGATCACCTAATTCCCACAGTACTGTCTTATATCTAAGCTTATTCACACATGTAGTATGACGGTAGTACTACTACCCCTTATTAGTATCATTATTATGATTATAGTATTATTATTATGTTGTTTTGCATGTACACTGAGAGCTACTACATCAGAAACAAATTCCTTGTGTGTCTAATCACACTTGGCCAAATAAAATAAGGTATTCTCTGCCACCCCTACTCTAATTGAATGCAAACAGCTCTCTATCACAAGCAGTACTATATGAAATGTCCTGTCCAGAATAATAGAAATAGTCTGTGATTGGCAAATTTAAATTGTCTACCTGAATTGTATAACAGTGCAAACCTCTTAGCAGTGCTACAAATCCTTTCACTTTGTGATTCTTCTTAGATTAGTGCAAGGCTGGACTAGTAAATTATCGGAATGACAGGACCAATTCCCATTGACACCTGAATAAAACACAGAAGAATCTGAAAGTTGGCAATTGTTTCCTATATAAATAAATGAGAGAAATTCTAAATAAATGTGCTGTTTGGGGCTCAATCCCTCTTATCACCCTGGTGTTCCCCCCACTTTATTTATTTAGTTATTTTAAAGTAGTTATACAATTGCCTAGAATAACAATGCTGATGGTGCTCAAAACTATACAAATAATGAAGCCCCAAACCGTTGGAATAAAACTCAATAAAAACTCTATGGAAAAGTATAAAAACTCATTGCACTCAGGGTGGCACTCGTCTGTTCATCCAGAGACCCTCTTACTGTTTGGTTTATGGTAGCATGATGTGGAAAAAGCAAACAGGAAGGGGCTTAAAGATGAAGGACAGTCTAACTAGCCCCATTGCTGTGGTAGTATTTTGATTAGCAGCTTTCTCCCATTGGTTATTTAAATTCAGAAGAGGACAACGAGGTGGAGGATTCAACCAGTTTCTTTGCCTATCACACTATATAGGCATAATTCAGATGGCACATTTGGTAATGATTTAGAGGCAGGAATCACGAGTGGAAGCAGAAAACTGCATGCTAGTATACTTTTCTGTTGACTCAGGCAGTGAGTAGAAAGCCCTATGATATTCTGTAATTAATCATTTAGGATTTTCAATAAGGAAAGCTATGAACATTTATGCATATTCTCTTTAGTGGCTTTGTGTTATGTTTTAAGGACATAAATACTGAATTTGTGAAGGGATTTCTCTCCATCCTGCAATCAAAGCTTCTTCACTCATCTCAAATAGCAACCTATAAACCTCTCTCCTTTTTAAAATCATGCTGGAAAAAGACTTCTTCCTAACAGGACTGTCAAGATTTATTGGGAAAAGGCAAGGTTAACAACAATTAACATATGTTCCTATGGTACATGTACACTGTTAGAAATATGAACATGAGACATGCAACAACAGAATGATGACGAAAACTGAATCTATTAGTAACACACATTCTGAGCATGGCGATATCATTCAGAAAAGAGCCCAATACATAAATGTAACTACTTTCTTGGTGTCTTTATTGCTAAATAAGAAGTTGCTATATACTATATAGGTTTGTTAGGGTACCAGTGGAAATTGAGAGTCCATCTTTGCGAGGTGGGATAGGAAAAAGTTGACTACGTTTCTTTTTTCTTTTCCCTGCCTTTCCACAAGTTTCCTTTATTAAAGTTTGTTTCTGGTAGCATTGAGGAAGAAAGTGTTTAACTATTTCAATTTCTCTTGTCTAAATATAGCCAGTTCCAAGGAGCAAATTCTGTAGGCTAAGGACCAAGGAGGTTTGCAGCATTCTCTCAGTCTACCTCCATCTACATTCATTTACAGATTAAGAAGACAGCATCTCCTTGCTGCTCTTCATTGCACCCTCTTCAAATCCTGTCCTTCCTGGGCATTTGCCATATTTGCTCAAGCAATTCTGCCCTCTGTAGCAAGAGTCATCTGCCTACAATTTTGATTACAAACCATCTTAAAGAGGCAGGCTGAACACTATTTTAATATATGGAGCAGTGCTAGCCTTGGAATACCACCGAGCAAATCAGATTCACCTTTCCCATTGTTCTCATGCCTTATAAATGATTCATGGATTTGCACTCTGAGGATGCAATCTGAACAGAATATCTTCATATTTCACTCCTTGTGATGTAGCAATGCATAATCAGTATGAGTGTCTCAGGCCCTGTTAGTAATTCTAAAAACCAAGACTCATGAAACAAGAACCTGAATACTCATTTATTCCAGAAAGCCTATCAGTCATTCTGGTTGGAATCCTTTATTCATAGTAAGAGTGACTGGGGCATGTATGTGTGCAAGTACTGGTGATGTATGGTGAATGTTCGTGATGGAATAGTAATATTAACTGCCTCATATTAAAATGACTTCAAGGGAGACTAGTTCTGAAAATAGTGATATGGAATCAGACTAGAATATTTACATTAACATTATTTAATATGATTTTGCTTGTGTATATAATGGGGTATGACTATTTAGAAAGATTTTGTTTTCTGCTAAAGGTTGTTAGCTGGAAATCACTCCAAAAAGATTGACTCATTTTGCACCCATCTCTCTCCCTAAGCTTTTTTTAATATATCCTTTTAAAAACATTCTAAGTTGCTGATCTGATTTAGTTGCTTTCAGGAAGCAAAGAATTAGATCCTCTTCTCTCTCCATATTGGGAGCACAGTGGCTTGCGTGGTTGGGATTCTGGGTTGGAGGGTAAGACTTGAGAGTTGCCGTGGGATGCGGTTGAGCTCCTGTCCTTCTCTCCAGCTCCAACTGGGCATCCCCCAGGTGATGGTGATGTCTGTGGCTAATCCTTTCCTTCTGGAAGCCGCTCAGTGCTTTTTACACAAGTGCAATGCAATCTCCATATTAGGATTAAAATTGTTGCTCTGAATTTATTGCAGGATAAGAAAGGCATAAAGGTATTACCGTAGTTCCAACATTAAAGCTTTAAAGCTTTCTAAGTCCAGCTGGACTCTTGCTAACTACATTGTTTTCTTGGTGACAGTATGACAGGGTTTGCTGTTTCCTATTTCTAAGATATTTTCCAATTTCCCCAGAAATTTCCTGGTGGTTCCCCACTGAGGTTTTATCCAGACCTGATTCTCCATAGCTTTTCTGAGACCAGGCAAAATGATCTGCAGTGAATTTAGCTGTAGAATCCCCTATAACTAAGAACATGGCAGCTATTCCTTTTCACAAAGTAAAACAAGACAAAAATCTTAATTTAGTTTTTACCCATCAAATTAAGTGACTATAGCTCTTTTCAGCAGAAGACATCTTGGGTTACCTGCCTGCAATGCAACTACTGAAAATGGGAAGAAAAAAAAAGGCAGCAATTCAAATTTGGCACTATAAACTTGACTTGCTACACAAAGATTAAAAGGAAGACAGATTCCTAAGAGAAGTGCTCCAAACCATCTGCCTCCATGCCTTTCAGAACTATATAAAAATATATAAATATATAAAAATATATAACATTATAATATATAACGTATTGCTATTGGCTATGCTAGATGGGGTTAGAATCATAGAGTCATAAGGCTGGAAGGGACCTTGGAGGTCTTCAAGTCCGACCTTCCTGCCCATTGCAGGAGACATTAGATCATCTCAGACAAATGTTTGTCCCATCCTTTCTTGAAAACTTCCAGCAATGGTGCACTGCAACTTTGGCAAGCAAGCTGTTCTATTGGTTAATTGCTCAAACTGTCAGAAAGTTTCTCCTTAGTTCTAGGTTGGATCTCTCTTTAATGAGCTTCCACCGTTGCTTCTTGTCAGGAGCACTGGAAAATAAATCAACCTCCAACTCTCTGTGGCAGCTCCTCATGTACTGGAAGACAGCTATCATCTCTCTCTTAATTCTTCTCTTTATTAGGCTAGACATACGGTTTCCTTAACCATTCCTCATGTGATTTATCCTACAGACCCTTTATCATCTTGGTTGCTCTTCTCTGCACTCTTTCTAGGGTTGGCATATTTTTTTGGATCGTGGTGACCAAGGTTAATTTAAGAGTTAATTTTTTAAAAATGTGATGACCAGGGTTAATGGAGTTTTAAATCCCCCCAAAATCTGGAGGATAAAAATTTGCTTTATCCCTGTATCAGTTTTATTCCCTTGTCCATAAATCTCAAGCTCTTCCCATTTTATTTCTGATGAATAAAAACTTGCCAAACAAAATTCTTGCATGCCTCTACTAAAAGACAAATATAGATATGGTGCTGTTTTCTTTTCTGCCTGTATACTGCATGGGATCCTTTTCACAAAATGCTGGTGTACAATGCCATGTTCTTCTAAGGCTTCCATCTGAACAATGACTTAGCAATAAATCCAGCATCTGATAAGCTTTCCTTCTTTCTTGTCATCCCTATTCTCTTAATAAGATGAAAGAAAACAGTGGAATGGAGTGAATTATTTTTCACTCCAGAGTATCAATTTACACTGAGGTTTGGCTTGATTGATTGCAAACACCTTCTGGACACTTGTTGAAAGTCTAAGAGGCTGTGCTAGTTTCCACTCCACCTTCAATGAATTATAGTTTGTCTTAGCAAAAACATTAACTTGTTTCTGTGAGCAAATGGAGAAACTGTATGCTTAACCAATAATGGAGTCTGAAAACCAATAGTGCACCATTAGAAAATAGAACTCACTCATTCATGGTAAAATTCATTGCTGGAGAGAAAACACTGTTTTCAAACATTGGAGTGTTACAAATGTTTGATTCAGCCTAAATAATGCATAATATGTTTTAAAAGGATGTTATTAATTTTCATACTACTTTATTATTTTTCCTGTTGCCATTATTGTCATACTTAGTAATTTAATAATCATCAGGTAAGCTTGAGAAAAGCAAATTAATGGTTTTGCTGTGAAGATGATGCGTTGAAGCTAGTACACCATGAAGGCTTACTGATTACTGGAGACACCAACTGGCCTATAAGAAAGACAAATGAAGAAGAGGACAGAGACATGGCAAGGCAAAGTATTACATTGCCAGTATATTAAAAAAAAAAAAAAAACAGCAGGCAAAGCAGATAATCATAAAAGCAAGAAAGTTGAAGAAAAAAATGGAAGGGTTGGATTCCTGCTGCAAAAGACCAAGTCTTAAGAACCAATGTTTACAAAGCCAGAATTGAGAAGACAGCAACAGATAGCAAATATGATCTTTGCAAAGAAGCTGAAGAAAGCATGAACTACCTAGTTAGCTGCTGCAAATAGATCACACAGATTGATTATAAACAATGGTATGACAAAGTAGCAACATAGGTGCATTGGAATATTTGCAAGAAATAGCACTTGCCTAGAAACAAGAACTGGTGGGTCGACAAAATAGACAAAGTAATAGAAAATGAAAAAGCTAAAAGGTACTGGGCCTTTAGAATTGAAAGAGACAAGCATAGTACCAAAGCATCTGGAGCATCACTTGACCACCGTTGGCATTGACAAAATCACCACTCAATTGCAAAAG